TTTCAGCAGAAGGGAGTAGACAAGACTCTAAAATTATCTTGTACTGCTCGCTCTTGAGGGTCTTTTCAATAGGTTTTAAGAAACCAGTTCCATGAATAGAAAAGCATCCCCAGAACATTATACTGAACGCATGCTTGACAGTACTTACTGCTAAATTCAAAGAGCTTTCAAAGCTTCTTCGGATTTTAGATCGCTTATCCTTTGAATTTAGCTCAACATTCGTTTCATCGGAGAAGAGAACATTTAATGAAAAAAAATCAGGTGAGTCACTTTTATCGAACGGCACTGCATATAATAAAACACAAAATAGACAAGTGTTGATAATTGTTTACAAAATGTATTTCATATGTCGGCAATAGTTGTTCTTTGAGAATCAGCGTAATTCAACGTCTTTTGTCTCAAAGACAGGAAATTCAGCGAAATTGATTAAAAAAAACATAAAGGGAATAGACAAGATCTGATATTTTTATATCATTTATATTACAACAAAGCAACTTTCCCCGAAAATTCGAAAATAAGTTTTGAAACGGAAATTAGGAGAAGATAAACGCAATGGCTAAACATCCGGTTCATTTCTATTCTTTAATATCGTGAAAAATTAAATATTTTAGTGAAATATATGCACGACATTGAGATTTTAATGGATAATATGGTACAAATTTTCAAAAAAAAATTTCCATAGTGAAGATTGTACTACTGAAGGATGTAATTTATTCCCTCTTTCTAATTTGAGATAAACGGGTTCGTACTATACACAAGTCGTATTATACAAAAGGAAATACGGTAGGTGTATAGATATGACACAAATGTACACAATATTTTCTTTCTTTCCTAGTTCTTAATTCTTTGCTTAGTTTCTTTTCCTATTTCGATGTGCTTTCTAATTTGTCAAAAACGTATTTCGTCACTTACTCTACAACACATTAATATTTTTTAGTATACCATCGCTACATTATATGTATATATATAAAAAAAGTCTGCAGGTATTTAATTTAGAGTCGTCCTTCTTCTAGACTAGTTTCCATTCCAGAACCCAACTTTTCCTGTTATTTCCCCTATAGCTGGAGAGAGAGAGAAGAAGAGGATTCATATCTTTCCGAATGATATTAGCACGTAAGTGAATGTAATGGATTCAACTGGAATTCGATCACCGCTCTCCAATTCCTCAATCCAAGACGCTATCAATTACTCCACCGTGACTCTTATACATATATGGACAGTAAAATTTATAACAAATGTCACAGAATTTACAGTTACAGATATGCTCAAATTTTCCATATTGACAAGTGAAGTATCTAACATTTAATCTTATCTTTATCAGTTATTTTAATGGGTATGCTCAACTCAATATTGCATACTTCGAAGCAGTAACAATTTGAAATAAAACACTCATTTTATTAGTTTCAATCAATAATGCAATTTATATATAAAGTATCTATCAAAAACACTTGTACAAATTTTGGAAAAGGGTTCCTCGCCTCTGAATAATGACAAAATCCGTATAAATATTTATCGACAAATCTTCGTTTTTGAGCCATGAACTTTCGACGGTGGACGCAGATAAAGATGCAATCCCAAAATGGTTTTGCTAAATTTGGGGGCGGATTTCTGACACCGAAACAAGGCAAAATGCATATAGAAACATGAATCCAAAAAGCCATCGTTGTACTTCAACACAATTTGATAGAGCCGTGCAGCCTCTCGTCCATTACTGTAAAATTCATATCTGCCTGTACACGATATGAACATTCTGCTACTGTTAAACGGAAAACTTCTTATTTCGCTCACTACTCCACACGTTAAACGCTGAAGTCAGGATAGACACAAAAATATACGAAAGACAAATATAGCCTAGTCTACATGGCAACACAGCGCCATTTACCGTAAAATTTCTTTAAACTTAATAACTTACAAACGAAGGATTTGCGGACATTTGTTTATATGGACTTTTGTCCTTGTTTTGGTGTTAGGAACACGCCCCAAAAATTTTGTAAAAATGTTTTGATACACATATATATATATATATATATATATATATATATATATATATATATATCCTACCGATATTAGGTGACTGAGATAGGAATTTTTGCGAGATTACCAAATTGATATACTGTTCATTTTGCTGACGTCATTCATTTTGGCTTTCATTTGTTGTATATAAGTTCCATTGATCATAAATAAATTGACTGATCTAGTTCAAAGTCACATTGCAAAAGCTTCGATGAACTAGGTTCCCGATGAGCGATGGGCACTGCTCAGTGTCCCGCAACCACTGACCCATCATTAATTTTTTTTCTCTACGATTCACAGTCTGCTGCTCTCTGTTTTAGCGGAAAGAGGTTTTCATTTTACGAAAATAATATGAATTGCTCTCTCTTCTTCCAAAGGCGAACGGCCACATCACGTTGAAACACTGTTTCTGTTAGGATCACCAATGAGCCTGGTTGATGGGTGGCGGTTTAGGAATACCATGTGCTGTAAGCTTAAATGTGCGGTTGGTATAATGGATAACAACTCGGTGCTGCTAATCGGAGAACCGTGTAGGATTTGCCGCTGTGTTTGTTATATTCATTTACGCGAATATACTCTTGGGAAAGGTATAAATCCACGTCTTCTCCCCGCTATGGGTTACTTAGTAAGTCTTGTATCACTAAACCCTTATTATCTCTTCAGCAAAATTCTTACAATCAAAACATATTTCCTGGTTTTAAATAACCTACAAAGGGTTGATAAGCCGTAAAAAAAACGAATAAATCAATCTCCTTCCAAAGTTTCTTTCGTTCATTTGTTATTGTCATACGTTTTATATTTGCATCAATCATGTATTATTTAATCTTCCTTACACTTTCTCTTTTCAACTGTTTCCTTTTATCATCCTTGCCTGGATTTCATTATATATTATATTTAATAATTGGTCCTTAGAATTTTGCTAGTTTAGTTAAAGGCCACGATCTTCGGGAATCCAACCAAGTTACAAGTCTCTACAGTAATAAATGGGTTCAAGATTAAATAGTAAAAACGTCACATATCAAGCAATAAATCAGTAAAGACAAAACAAGAAAATTGATATCTAAATCCAGTATTCTAACCATTGATGTAAGAGAAGGATCCCTCTTTTTATTTAACCATTTTCCGTTTTATTTTAGAACGTTGCCCTTTCTTTTATTTTCTATCCGTTATTTATTCTACCGGTTACTATATTTTTTAATTTAATATTCACTGTGAATGTTTTTTTCTTTCTTTATCTCTTTATATTTCTTCTTTTCTATCTTTTTTATTTATTTACTACAATTTTAATTCTCTTTATTCTTTTCTTTCTTTCTTTCTTTCTTTCTTTCTTTCTTTCTTTCTTTCTCGCTTTATTTCTTTTTCTTTCCTTTCTTTTTCTTTCTTTATTTCTTTTTCCTTCCTTCCTTCCTTCCTTCCTTCTTTGTTTATTTGTTTCTTGTTTATTTGTTCTTGTTTGTTTGTTTGTTTCTTTTTTCTTTCTTATCTTTCTTTCTTTTCTTTCTTTCTTTATTCCCTTTCTCCCTTTTTTCTTTCTTTTTATTTCTTTGTGCATTACTTTTTTCTTTCTTTCCTTTTTCTTTCTTTTCTTGCTTTTTATTCGAGATTACCATTTTTTATTATTCTATTGACGTAAATCATATTACATTATCTTGCCGTTTTTTGGGGGTTTTTTTGCACTTGTTTTCTTCCTTCTATCAATTTCTTGATTCTTTTCTTTCTTTCTTTTTTTTATTAATTGATCAGTAGAATATACAATAATCTGGCGAAACGCCACAACTTTGGAGCATCCTACTTAGATAAAACTCACTACAGTGGTAAATGGGTCCATATACTAGTTTGATAATTATTACAGAAGTCACACATATGAAATAATCAATCAGTAAATAAATCAATACATTACAATTGTTCTCTAAAGCCGGTTTCATAACCATTGATCGATCGCAAATTTCGATTTCTTAACTAGTTTCTGATTTATTTGAAATTTTTTTTTTTATTCGTTTATTTGAAGATTTTTTACTTTCGTCTTTTTAAATCTATATTCAGTTGTTTTTTTTTCTTTCTTTCTTTCTTTATTATCCTCCCAATTTCTAACCATTTATATCTTTCGGTTTTTGTTAAGACTTGTATGTAAGTTTAGTGTGACTTTTTGTTTAATGTCACGAGCCTTGGCCTCTTTATATTTAGAATATGAATATTAGTACTTTATAAATTTATCTTAGTATAGTAAAAAAATATAAAAACATGGGTACGATGATTGTTTGTCCGTTTTTGTTTTTTTCTCTCTAGTAATTCTAGTGAGAGAATCTGCCTGAATAAAATTCAAAAGCCATCATTCAAGATATTAACTTAGCAAGAGCCAAACTCATCTCCGACTGGAAAATGCTAACTTTCAGAGATTCATATTTGGATTTCAAAATTCAAACCCTTCTAAGATCTACTATCTTGACCAATGTTACTTACTATATAGAGAGGACTTCGCATTTCATGTTCATCTATGCTTGCAAGAGGTTATGACTTGCGCATGCGTGCAAGAGGTTACTACTTGCGCATGTGTGAAAGAGGTGACGACTTACGCATGTCGTGATGCGTGCAACATCTTTTGCATGCGAAATGCAATGCAAGATTTGGAGCCAGGGTATATTTGTTTATGAAATATTCCGTGTTAACATCACGTGCAGGAAACGTTTTCTTTCGTGACAAGTCATATTACATAATATCTGTAAGTATGCATACATTTATACGGACAGAGATAGATACATACGTCCAAATATCTATATATTTATATATCAGTATGCATGTAATCGGTTACAGATAAAACAATTCAAACAGATACGAAAGACTGAGAAAGATACAAGAATCGGAAAATATTCAGAAAATACACACACAAAGAGTGAATAGAATGTGATGACAAATTGAGACAGATCGCTATGAACACATTGACATCGTCTAAAACAAAGAGAAAGAGAGTAAGAGAAAAATAGATTTAATCAAACTGAGATAGATAGATAGATAGATAGATAGATAGATAGATAGATATGAACAGATTCAGACATACAGATTGAGATAGGAATGTGCAGACTGAGAGAAATAAATATGAACAGACTGAAAAAAATAGACATACATACATACATACATACATACACACAGACAGACAGATAGATAGATATATAGATAGCTAGATCTGAACAGATTCAGACATATAGATTGAGATAGGTATGTGCAAACTGAGAGAGATAAATATGGACAGAATGAAACAGAGAGACATACATACAGACATACATACACACACACATATATATATATATACATATATATATATATATATATATAGATAGATAGATAGATAGATAGATAGATCTGAATAGACTGAGATAGATAGATACAGACTGCGATAGATAGATAGATAGATAGATAGATAGATAGATAGATAGATAGATAGATCTGAACAGATTCAGACATATAGATTGAGATAGGTATGTGCAGAGTGAGACAGATAAATATGAATAGATAGATAGATAGATAGATAGATAGATAGATAGATAGATAGATGAACAAACGCAAAACTTTTGTAACAGTTCTATTTACAATTTGCGTATACAGACAAGTAACAGTATGATAGCTTAAATCACTCACCAACAGACGCACATAGATACACACATATTATATATAAATATATATGTATACGAACATTAACAAAGGTATTTTATTAGAATGGATTTTTATTAATTCGACAGATTTTTATCATTTTAAACGTTAGTAATAGTGGATAAAAAATTTCGAAAAATCTTATTAAAGAAAAACATTTCATTGAGCGCAAGTTATCGGTCAATAAGATTTCTAGAAATCTCAGACCGTAGTTGAAAACAAATAAATATAGGGGCGTCTAGTCAAATACGAATATCCACTAAAAATAAAATTTAAAATGATAAAAATCTGTCGGATTAATAAAAATCAATTCGAATAAATTTTATTTGTTTTAGGTTTGGATACAAAACTGGGTGCAGGTAAGAACCAATTCGAGAGATCATAGACAAGAGAAATTTTGCTTGAAAGTCTGAAATATATATATATATCTGGCCAATTTGATATATATATATATATATATATATATATATATATATATATATATATATTAAATTGGCCAGAATGTCATGACTATTTTAGGAAACGAAAAGAAAATAACAAACTTTATTCTCTAAATAAAGTCCATCATTCTCGACGATCTTCTGCCAGTAATCAGCCAGCATTTGAATCCTTCCTGTCGCAAGTGCGTTGGTTTTGAATCGAAACACTGTAAACAAGCTTCCTTCACTTCATCAAATGTGTTGAATCGCTGGTCGGGAATGAAGTGCGACATTGAGCGGAATAGGTCATATTTACTCGGAGAATTATCGGGACTGCATGATGGATGTGGAAGAATCTCAACAACGCCCATCTGTTTGAAATTCTACTTAGTCAAGTTGGCAGTTTGTGGCCGAATATTGTCTTGACCAAAGCAGGATATTTTTTTACTTTGTCGCACTCGCGGTCTAGCAGCTTTAGAGTTGATGGCGCGGCTGCCCGGAACAAGCTCGAAAAGTAGTACACCATGGAAATTCCATCACACAGAGATCAAGATTTGTTGTTTGCTCTCCGATTCCTAAGTGAGTCAGAACATTCTCGTCAACTTAGTATATGTAAATTAGTTTTAAGCCAGTTTTCTTTTGATTTTTCTTGTTAACCTGATGGGTTCGAAAATGCTCATGAATTAATTTTAATTTACAATGTAACATGATGATCATCAATATCATGGAGTAATTCTAACTGCTATTGTTTGTATTTTATATACTCGTTTTGAATAAAACTTTGAGCTCTCTCTGTGAATCAGTTTTAACATTTTATAGTATATTAACAGAATTCACTTGGATTGTATATCAACTGGATTTCTAGTATATATATATATATATATATATATATATATATATATATATATATATATATATATATATATATATATATATATATATATTTATATAAATAAATGCTAAACAATCTGGATTATTTTTTCGAGCTTTTTTTAAAAAAATAAATATAAATAATATATATTATAATATATATATTTATATATATATTTTGATATATATATATATATATATATATATATGGATTATATATCTGATTATTCTTCTTATTTTATATATGGATTATATATATATTATTATTATATATATATATATATATATATATATATATATATATTCGTATTAGAGAAAATCTGCATAATTCTAATGACAGGCACCTTTTATCTTTCAAGAAAGACTTTATGCGTTAGTGTCTTTGTGAAAATATACACCAATAATCTAGATAAAGCTTTCCTCTTCCCGAAAATTTAGATTCAAACATATATAAGTATGTTTGTGTGTGTATATTTGTAGTCATCATAGACTAGAATGACAGAAAGCCTCAGGATGTGGAGGTCCATCACTGGTCCCAATCAGTACACAGTATTAATAAATTGTTAGACGAATCGCTTGCACTTTGGAGAAACAACTTTATGGAATACACAGTGAAGATCGAAATCTGTACTCTTTAGTAATCCTTTGTATGGGATAGACAAATAGTTCACCATATTTTCGCCTATCGTCCGGTTCTGTAGAACATGTTTATACTTGTATGGCTTGTTCCCTGTTTAGGATTGGGTTCTCAGTTCCTTATAAGTTGACTTCAACTCTATACATCTAACGTCTCCGCCTAAACTCTCTAATTTTATCTAATATTTTTTCCTCAATAGGAGTAGATATATTGACTTCTGGATCAATTCATCCCCCACCCTCGCTGTCTATTAACCAAAGTTAGAGGTTTATTCATTGTTTACTGTTTAGTATTCGGTTTTCGGTTCATTCCGGTTCTGGACGTCTTCATTTTCTTCCACATCCGGTAGTCGGTTGTATATTATTTGCGTTACTGCCTTTCTTGGGGTGAATTCATTAAAAGATTTTTAAAAAAAATAATAATTTCCATAAAGAATAATTGAGAATTAAGCAAATTTTTTTTCCTGAAGTGTTCGTCCAGGAAAAAAAATGCTTAATATGACGTGATATTTTTGTGACAATGGGATTTTAAATTCAGAAATGCGTTAGAAATATTTTCGTGTGCATTTTGATTCCTAATATATTCGTGTTTATGAGCGTGTGTGAATATCTTAAAGAGAAAAGAGAAGGTGCAAACGTTTTTCGTTATAATATGTATTTTTTGAAAAATATATTATACATTATATTTATATATATATATATATAATATATATATATATATATATATATATATATATATATATATATATATATATATATATATATATATATATATATATATATATGATATGATATAATGGCTAGCAAACTTGTCTCGCTAGATTTGTTATGACTGATTAGTGAGTTCGATCTTCAATGGTGCTCAATACTTTTGGCCTTGTGTCAGATCTAAGCCGCTCTTAGATGTGACACAAGTATGTTATAAGTTTAATTAACAGGAAAGTTGTTATAAGTTTAATTAAAAGGAAAAAATAACTTATAATTTTAATACAAAATTAAAAGGAAAAATACGATTTTAAAAAAAGAAAAAAAATGTAGCAAAATTATATATTTGAATGATCCAAAGGTTTTTCGCATTTATGTTTAACTAGCAACCTGGCCCGGCGTTGCCCGTGCTTGATTCAAAAAACGTACGACGCATACAGCAATCGCTATCGCTCATATTTTTGCCCTTCCTTGCCTTTAAAGGAGTGCCCTTTGCCCTGCTAATGTTTTTACATGCTTCACTTCTTGCCTATCTCACACTCCGTATTTTATGTAAGCTCTATACTAAACATTAAATCTGTTACGAAAAAAGAACTGAACAAAATGAACACAAAACGATCAGCTTTAAAAAAGGACTCGTAACTGAAAAAAAACGAATGAACAAAGAATGTTAACAACAAATACTTTTTCACACCCAACCCAGTTCTGCGGAATCAGAATCAACGTTGAATTTAAGCAAGCGCATGAGCCAATTGGAGTAAAGTGCCATGCAAATTTAAATTTTTCCCACTTGTGACGAATTCAGCTATCGATTTTTTTTTTTGCATGCTAGCATGCTAGTTAACATTCGTGTCATTCAGCTGTTGGCTCCACGCTGGCCAATAGAATCTTCCTGCCTATTCGTGGCAGCCAGCTATAGGTTCTCACTCTGGCCAGTAGAAAATGGCCGCAAACTACATGAAAACTGCCGTAGAAGCATGAAAAAATCGATTATTTCCACTATCGATGGGAGTTGGGAAATGCAACGTCGGTCTTGGCCTTCCCGCTAACTTGGAGCATGTGCATGTAAATTTTGCTGCAAATCCGTCGAAAATTGCAGCCGTGCATTCCTTACACACACACACACACACACACACACACACACACACACACACACACACACACACATCATATATATATATATATATATATATATATATATATATATATATATATATATATATATATATATATATATCGCATGAGTTCATCAATTAGTCTGTTTTGTGACCCTGTCTTGTGTCACGTAAACTTTGTTTCCCATCATACGAGAGATATTCCTGTCATGATCCGATCTTTTTCTGGAATGGTTTTCATTATCGTCATATTCCGGGAACCATTTTCCAAGAAAAGAGATGTAAATGGTGCGTAGTAATTAATATTGTGATAAAGACATGTGGTGGAAAACACTAGATTTAGAATCGAGGTTGATTTGTCTCGTCCTATTCGCTTCTACTGAAGGGAAATGATGTCAAGTAAGAAAAGTACAGGCCATTCAATGTGTGCATAACCATTGAATCGAGCCAGTTACTCACGATATTCTGGTGTAGCCAGAGTCTGTTCATGTACCACATATTTGTAATGAAGAATATGGTTTAAATATCAGCAAAGATATAAAATATAATTTCACTAGTTAGTTTCGTTCCGGTTAAGATGTTGAACACTGCGTTTGATTTAGTCACGATTCTCTTTGTTTTACAAGTTTGACATCAAGTCATTATCTTCACGCAACAATATTTTATGTAAGTATATCAAGTAGAGAGTGGCACATTGATAAACATGACCGACCTTAACTTACCAAAGATCCATTTTTATAGGTTCATTTTTTTAATCTTGTAAATAGCGTCTTGTAGTTGACTGGCTCAACAAGGAAAATATTGTTGTGTAACGTAAACAAGTTTTAAATATTTCTCTTACATTTATATATGCTGCTCTGATATTTTGCATCAAGCCAACTTTTAAAAGCAGTAAATACTTGCAGAAAATATATGTAGATAAAAACTTTATATAGAATATAAGAATACCAGACATATAAACAGACATGCGAATATATATATATATATATATATATATATATATATATATATATATATATATATAGATAGATAGATAGATAGATAGATAGATAGATAGATAGATAGATATGTCGATGATATGTACAGACATGTCACAATGCTGATAATAGAAAATACTTTAAACACTATCAAAAGAACCTTCCAAAATCTAAGCAAATTATTAATAAATAAGAAAATTTATTTATTTACAGTATTTATATTCGGACTGTTGCCAACATCTTTCTTGCCGTTATCACAACGTTTCGGCCGATGTTTCTTCTTCAGGTGTATATCGATCCAGATAAGCTATACGGAATTCTGAACTGAACCCTTTATTTAATCTACGAGGGTAAACTGTTCTCGTTCCACTGCTCATGTCTGTGGATATCGTTTAGTTGTTTGTATTTTGTTTATTTATTTAGTACTGTTGAGTTATCAACAGTTTACACTAAGTGAAAGTACACACAGCCCGACCCAGGTATTAAAATATGTCATCAAAGCTCCATTAGGCCATTTGCTGTTGTGACTTGGATGCTTTAAATTTAACCTACCTGCTGATTAGGCTGCCAAAGCTGTTACTTTTTACGGCCACTGCTGCAGATGTTTTGATTGCTGCTGCTCCTGGAATTGAATACTTTCTGTCATTTGTTTTTTTCTTTCTTTATTTGCGGCCCCCATGTTGTATTTATTTCCATGTTAGGCCTAATAAGGATACTAGCATATGCTAGACATCTTTCACACATCTAACTCTCCAGTGTTCTTCCTTATTCCAGTAGTTTCACTTCATTCTACAGAGAGTGATGGCGAAAACTACTTTCTCTACATACATGATCAGCCATGTCTGATTTCATTGTCTTAGCGATCACTACGGCTTTTCGGTGTTACCCCAGCCTTATTTTTTGGAGTTGGCTTGTTTCACTTCTACAAGGGATAGGGCACACACAATTGTTAGTCATGTTCTATCCCGTGTTAAGGTTTATTCGCAAGAGATTTCTTCACTGAGTGGATCTGCTTCTGAATATTGTCCTGATGATGTATGGGTGGCAGGTGTTCTAAATTTATTTTTCTGATAAGCCCTTGACGTAAGGTAAACAGACTGTGGCAATTTTCTGGTTATCCTCTTTGTCACTTCTATTCTCCCCTGTACACGCCGATGTTATGTTTACTGTGTAGTTGTTATTCTGAAGTGTACGTTTGATGCCGATCATTCATTGTTCGTATGTGTCTGAGCTGCTGCTTAATATTTCCTGTGTTATAGTTACCAAGCAGTCCCTTTCTTTTCATAGTATGTATTGTGAGAATTGAATTGGAGGTATTGTCTGATGAACGTTGGCTTTTGATATAGGGATATTTTCAACCCATGTTATGTGCGAGTTATTAGTACATCCAGTAAGGATAGCTGATTATTACTTTTTCTTCCATCGTGAATTGGATCGAAGGTATTGAGTTCATATTGTCCATCAATATTTGTACAGCTTCCTGTTCGGACAAATGTATGAAGACGTCATCTCCGTATCTCAACCATACTGTTGGCTATAGTGGTGAAGATTTTTAAAGCCATTTCCTCGAAGTATTTTATGTATATGATAGCCATCAATGGTTTCAATGGTGAACCCATAGAGAAGCCTTCCTCCTGTCAAACTCTAATTGAAAGAATGTTGTCTTTACACAAAATGTAAATATTTCTATTAGATTATCTATTGAAATATTAGTACCTTCTCGCAGGGAGGGGTCTGATTCCAATCAGTTTCGAACCATTGGCAGAGTCTCATCTGTAGGAACTCTGGTGCACAGGACTACCATATCAATGTTTACTATTCGCTTGTTATGAATGGGAGAATTGGTAAATTTTCATTTTAACACCTGAACGTCATTTACTGCTGAACTAATTTCTTTCAGAAATTAGTACGCGTTTCCGTAAAGCGATTTTTTGTACTTAATTTAAGAATAAAGTTAACTTTCAAATATATGTAAACATCGACAAATAAAAGAATAACAAAAGAAAATAAACACCTAACCCTAATTTGAAAGTTAACTTTCTTCTTTAAAAAAAAGAATAACCAAAAAAAAAAAATACCTAACCCTAATTTGAAAGTTAACTTTCTTCTGTAAAAAAAAAAAAAGAATACCCCCCACCGCCCAAAAAAACACCTAACTCTAATTTGAAAGTTAACTACAAGGAATTACTGTGAAGGGAGTAAATAGGCCCAAATTGTTTACGTCCACCGACAGAATTCAGCACTGAATTACATATCAATAAGGCTGTAAGGGATGACAAAAAGAGCGAGAAGAAGTTCGATGTTTTTCTGGTCGTTAACATCCAAAAAGGTAGGTTTCTTTAATGTCTAATTGTTGATTTGAGTTCAGTATATACATTTGCACGGAAATAAGACTATTTTGGAAAAATTTGAAGATAATAGCGCTCGGGTGTTATAATGAAAATCTACCGGAGAATCTTGGATCAGCTTCGCTAAGTGTTCTGAGTTTCTGACATAGAATGTAGACTTGCCCGTTAGTAGGTTGATTATATCCACTAGAAATCTACTGAGTGGGTGGCGTGCTGAGCTTCTGCAGCTGACTATATATCTCAGTTGAATAACAACTTTGTGAATCTTGGGGTGACCATATATGTGTAGTAGTTTGTTGTAACCTTTATTCAGCTGTCTATTTTATTGAATGTGAAGTAGTACTTGTTCTTATTTAGGACAGCTTCCTCTATGTTTTAACACTTAGATCGTTTTTCACTTTTATTTTTGATATAACTGTCATCCTCAACTAGTCATGACAATTTTTGAAGTATTCCAAATTGTCCATCACCATTGAAGCGTTGCCTTTGTCAACTGGAAGGATGATGACACGAGTGTCAATCACTAAGGTCTTGATTGCCAAATATTCTTCCCTTGATTTAGGCGGTTTGGCCTTTTCTAGTGCTTGTTTCACTTTTCATCTTATATGAGAAATAACCCCGACATTCGACATATACGTACACTCACACGCATCCACCAACATCCACACATAGCTAGGTGAAAAATGTTATATTAAAATTGCTTTAATCACACACACACACACACACACACACACACACACACACACACACACATGTATATGCATGTATATATGCATATTTGTATGTGTTTTTGCGTCCGTGTGTTTTTGTGTGCGTGTGGAACTCACTTCCATATTCCAGTTTCCCTGAGAGCTATAATCTCCAACTATTCAAATGTTATGTCAATCAACATCTCTAGTTGCCTCGAACTATCCACTATCCTTCTCCTCATCCTTTCCTCTATCACTCCTATCTGATCTTGCTCCAAATTTTCTGTAACCCCTTGCGTCCTAGTGGCTTCTCGCCATGCTTGGTGTGAAACGCTTAAAAAAAGATATTACGCTTTTCTGGACATTATTAAAGACCATACACTTTACTTAGACGTTTAACTTGCACTTAAATGAATTATTTCAGTTGAATGTATAATAGTTTTTTTTTTACTGTACACACACATTCACAAACACATACACAGAGATAGATAGATAGATAGATAGATAGATAGATAGATAGATAGATAGATAGATAGAGCGGTGAGTTATAAGAGTCATCTTACATTGATAGTTAATTGTTATGTCTTTAGTGTTGAATACGTTTAGTAGGAACATAAATAAGAGGATGGAATGTCTGTGGTTACTAACAACATTGGGAATGGTAAATAAATCTTTACTTAGTTCTTTTGAGAAAAAGTCTCCGAAGGTATATATTAAAATAGTGAATTCTAACATAATAGTGGATATAATTAAAATAACTATCCGATATATATATATATATATATATATATATATATATATATATATATATATATATATATATATATATATATATTCACAATTGTAGATGTTACAAAAAAATTCATAACTTTGTGGGGATCATATACCAAAATTTATAGCGTAATGTCGACACGAAGAACGCATGGATAAAAATCAAATCTTTCACTTATGTTCTACCTATTCTAAATGATTTTTTACCATAAACGCGGACACTTAAAGTAATGAACATAAAATGTTAAACGACTTTTTTTTTAAATTCACTCATTTTCTTTCTCATTTTTAGTCACGTGCAACGCTGGCATTGGCAAAAATTTAAGACTTCATTATTTTAAAGAAACACAAATACATACATACGCATGTCTATTGTCAACTTTGATCTGATGAAGCTTAAACGGCGAAATGCATAGTCGGAATTTTTTTGTCGAAACATTATACTTTCATGAACGTATTTTTCCAAATGTCAATAATTTATAACTCCGTGGAAGTCATATACCCAAATTTATAACATACATACACGTAAATATCATAATAGAGGCTGACGATTAATAAAGTATTTCATAGTTACAGACGCTCTCTCGTCTTCGACATCAGACTCAGGGAGTAAGGTGATGTCCAGAACAGTTGTTGAAATATCAATTTTCAATTAATGCCCAAATCAATATACAAGGTGAGGTAGAGAGAACAGACGTTTTTGAAATGGCTATTATTTTCAAAAACAACCCTCCTCTCTGCCTCACACATATATCTACACACACATATATATATATATATATATATATATATATATATATGTGTGTGTGTGTGTGTGTGTATGTGTGTGTGTGTGTATTTACTATTAAAACACACTTTCAAATATTAAACCATACTTTAAAATATACCACGTTATATGCTAACCGTTTCTTCTCTCTTAATCTAAACCGATTTTTTAGGTTTTATTTTATTTTATTAAACAGTGAAATTATTAATAACCGGCCTAAATTGAGAAATTTTACTAAAAAACATATGTGCATCCAACAGGAATCGAACCAGGATCCATATTTTTCAATCACTTTTTAAACTAAAGATGAATTATATTTGTTCATGCTTTGGAAGGTCAGTTACTTCTGTTTTGTATAATTCTACATTTATTCATTATATTTCGAAATTTCATCTGATTACGTGGTTATAGCAAGTATTTTGATTTTAATTTACTGACAGTTCACAAGAAATAATAAATTTGATACTGAATTTATTGACAAAATATCAAATCGCAATATATGTAAAATTAGACACCTTTAGCTAAGGAGTTAATCTTTCATAAATGAATTATTGGTGTATGCGTGTGTGTGAGATCGACCGCTAGATAGAGCCTGACTTCGCTAAAACTCACGCTCGAACACACGACTAATGATGCATGTTTACCGCTACTTTTACTTTCACTTTCTCGCAATAACCTCGTCGTTAGCGCTACTTTTACTTTCACTTTCTCGCAATTACCTCGTCTTCAACACATCACGCTGCCTTTTTGGCCTCGATAACCCCAACAACTCGTTTATCAAACGCGTAACGTAGGCAAGACTGACAAAGCCTTCACGGGGGAGTTTATTCAAGAATTTGTCGATTCAGTCGGCTTTAAATTGATTCCGTGATTTGAACTCCGGCTACTGAGATGACATTTTTTGATCAGGGTTCAAGTCTGGGTTTAGAACTAAGGGTTAGGATGAGGGTTCCCTCAGAGTATTATTGCTGCCTTTCCTACTGTCGTTGCCGCCTTCTCAATAAGAACAAGCTGTGGATTTGATGATGGTCTTGATCAGGTTATAAGCAATGGGTTATCTATGGCAAAGCAGAAATGTGGTTGAGCGAGTCAATGAATGAATGGCGCGAGGTGAAAAGCAGATGGTGGTGGAAAAAAGAACTGATGACTAATTGTTGGAACAGAGCCTCGATGTAGTGCTTGATGAGTATATTAAGGAGCGACACAAAAGAAAGACGACAACAAAGATATGAAATAGAGAAAATCATAATTAACATAAATAAATTTTGAAACAAAGTAAAAACAAAACTTAACTTCAAAATACAAGCGAATTATTAGAAAGAAGAAAATTGGAGATACATAAAAAAATGAGAATATGTTCAAACTTCAAATTTGAGGAAAATAAAAAAAGAAAGAAAGAAGTAACGAAAAAAGAAAAATTGAGGGTAGGAATAAAGCATGAAAGAAACATTCAAACGAATAATATAGAAGAAAAGAAACACATTATTTTTATATGGAAAGAAAGAAAGAAAGAAAGAAAGAAAGAAAGAAAGAAAGAAAGAAAGAAATTTTGGAGACAAGGAAGATAAAACGATCGGAAATAAATTTTTAAAATATATATTTAGAAAGAAAGAAATTTTGAAAACAGAGAAGAAAATACTTAAAACTAAATAAGAAAGAAAGAAAGAAAGAAAGAAGAAAATAGAGAACATGAATAAATCATGAAAGAAAAATATCAGACAGGAAATATGATAAAAATATATATTTCTTTATTTGGAAAGAAAGAAAGAATTTTTGAAGACCAAAGGAAATGCTCAATTATCAATAAAAAAGAAAGAAAAAAAAGAAAGAAAGAAAGGAAGGAAGGAGGGAAGGAGGTAGAATAGAAAAGAAAAGAAATATTTAAAATATGTAATATAAATAAAGAAGAAAATATTGGAAAGGAAAAATAGAAAGAATTCTTTAAAATAAATATTTGCAAAAAAATCAAGCAAGAAATGTTGGAAGTAGGAAATAAAAAAAACAAAATATTTTTACCTCTGCAATTTAAAAAAATATAGACATAATTATTTTAAGAAAGAAAAATAAATGAAAGAAGAAAAAGTTAAGGGAAAATAATGACAGTCCAAAAAGAAGAAAAGAGTAACGAAATCAATTCAAGGGTAACACTAAATTGTTAATAACTATTAAATCAAATGAAGAGTCAAAAGATTATTTTACGATTAAAAAAATAAAAAATTGTTTGAAAAAAATTGTTGAGGAGATCTGTACAGATTAGTTATGCGAATGCCATCTTGGCTACCAACCGATTCAAGCAGAATGAACGACCCATCTCAACCTGGAACATTTATAAATCTTTTCAAGCTTGAGAACATTTTTTTTCATATTTTTAAGGTGATCAAAATCTTTATCTGGTTGTTTCAAGCAAAAGTCAACCACCAAAATGCATTTTAAAAAGAACGAAAATATTTTAAAAATAAATTATAGGTATAAAACTGGGAAGTGCGTTCATGGAGAAAATAACCGTGATTTGCACTGAATTTTACTATTCGACAAAAAATGGTTAGATATTTGCTCTTTCCAGTTACCGATTTCCGTCCTGTCTTTAAGGTACAGGAATTGTGTTTTTTTTTGTGTGTGTGTGGCTATCTTCTTCTATATGCCGTCTCCCTACAGTTGTGGGTGATCATGGTCCTCCACAACTTCCTATCCTTTGTATTAGCGTTTATCTTACCATCTCTCTCAACCACCGTTCCCTCGTCCTTTTACAAAGTATGGTCAGATAAGTGGCCCTTTGTTTTCCCCTATCACTTTTGCGTTCAGTCTGATAAATGAGAGTAAAATTATCCCAACACTTTTTCCTCATTATGTGTCCTGGAAAACATTGGTTGTCTCTTTCTGATACTGAGTATAAGTGCTTTTTTTGCTTCTTTTTTGTTTCATTTTCTTTAAAATTTATTTCTCCGTCCATGGAATTCACAACATCATTCTTTAAAACCACATTTCTATTTTCTACTGTCTTCTTTTCATGAGGGATTTGCTCCGTATTTATTTAAACCAAAGATGAATGATCAGGACCGATATATACGTAAGAGTTCAATGCTTTTCTTAGTTTCTAACGAACTTTTCCTGTTTCTTTGTACTTTGGTTAGCTTTCAAAAGTCACCGTTTGCGATTACAATCCGCCTACAGATTTCGATGTCACATTTTCCGTTGTCTGATAAATACTTTACAGATAGTTGTTTTTCTGTACTGGTCTGATTTTGACATTGCCCATGCTTAGTGCGCATCTTCGATTTTTTTTTTGTCTTGTTACTAGTCATAGTTAATTAATATTTATACAGGTACATATGCTGATATCTACAAATGTGTGCGCATATTTGGTTTCAGAAAGGGAATAAACTCACTTTTAGCTTCTTGGAAAGAATTTGGTTTCGAAAACGATACCCACGCGTGTATCAATATCTGCGTCAGCTGAAATTTTTTTAACTGAATTTTGATCTGAAATTTTCACTCTATAAATTCACTCTATGTTATTAATATTCACCTCTGAAATAAGTGCATTGACAAGGAATGAGATTATGCTGATATTTAAACATTTCTTTTGCAATAAATGTTTTATCATTAGCCTAAGAAATTATTGATATAAATGCATATTTCTGAGATGAGGTAGTGTAACTATTTAGCCTTTTTACATCGTTCGGACTATTGTCCTCATCTTTATTGTCACATTCACGACGTCTCGGCTGTTAAGTTCCGGCCATCATCAGATATACAGTGTCCACAAAGTCTCTACAATTTAAAAGATACATTACAAAGGCAACTAGATGACCTTCAACCATCATTTTCCAGCAAGATGGTGCATCACCACATTAGGGACTGTATGTTTATGGGTTCCTAAATCAAACATTCTCAAACCGGATGATTGGAAGGGATGTCCCACTGGCCACCTCATTCACCAGATATCACTCCCCTGGACTTCTTTCCCTGGTGTTATGTTAAAGATATTGTGTATCCAACTAAGATACGGGACATCATTGATCTAAAGCAAAAGATCACTGACACCATTGCCAGTATTAATGAGGCCGTGCTACAGAAAACATGGCAAGAAATCGAGTACTGTCTCTATGAGCTCCATGCAAATAATGGCACCCATATAAAGGTCTATTAAATTAGTTAAAGAAACATCAATATCTACTCCTCATTTTTTAACAAATTCCTTTTGTAAATATATTTTTACATTGTAAAGAGACTTTATGGACAGCCTATATATATATATATATATATATATATATATATATATATATATATATATATATATATATATATATATAAGCTTTTAATCACATTATATTCATCGATTTCAGGTACCCTCTTGATGAATGAGGTACTGTCAAAGTAACTCATAACATTTACAGACCAGTGGATTGGAAGGAATGAGTCAAAATCCGTGGCCACCTCGTTCACCAGATATCACTTCCCTGGACTTCTTTCTTTGTGGTTATGTTAAAGATATCGTGTATCTAACAAATATACGGGGCATCTCAATCTAAAGCAAAAAGATCACTGATGCCATTGACACGATTGATGAGGCTGTGCTACAGAGATCATGGCAAGAAATCGATTACCGTCTTGATGTGCTTCGTGCAACTAATGGTGCCGATATGGAGGTTTATTTAATTAGTTAAAAAGAAACTTCGATATCTATTCCTCATATTGTAACAATTTCCACATATTTGTCTATTCATTTGCTTTTGTAATAATTTTTAAATTGTAAAGAGACTTCGACTTCCACGTGCCATACCTTTTCTTGATATCTCAGTTTCAGTTATTTCCCATTAATAACTCAACTCTCCAAGTTTTTTTTCCTCACCTCTGTTGTGGCCAGGTATTAAATTCACAACTCTTTGGTTCAAGTCCCTGGAATACTTCAACCAATGCTTTTATTCACTGGGCCATGTGTTATTGGGAACGTGGAACTGGAACAATCTCTCACGGTGGACGAAATAAGGGGTTCGCTTCGAAGTTTCTAAATATAACACTTGAAGGAGACCGGGAACGTACAACGGCCAAAACCATGTTAATCTTGTAAATAGTTTATAATCTTCGTATAACTAAATGTCTATTCCAATAAAAGATATGGTCTTCGTTAATCTATTAGAGAAAAAATACAGGATAAATTATTAACATTCAGGATCTTTTACTTATTATGCCTTTGCATGTTTGCCCCGATACCGAACCTCACTTTCCATATGGATAAAAACCTGAAAAAAAAAAACAAACTTTATAATGTCTAGGCCAAACGAAACGTTGTGAGAATGTACAAACGGAAATTACAAATTCAATTGTTTAAATATATCTTTGAACGACAATGACATTTTTTCCGAAAATTAAAGACAATATATTATTTATCTGTATATTCCCTGTCTTTATTTTTGTGGTAACAAGGGAAATAAATCCGTAAACCCATACATGTATTTACAAAGTCTACCAATCTTTCTTACTTTGAATATTGCTGCCAGATCTAGTGTGGAGCTCCTGCTATATATTTAGGGATTCTTGATAAAATCCAAAGAATAATCTGCAGTAATATTGTTCCTGACCTGTCATCTCAGCTAAAGTCCATTCCCTGTTATTTTTCTATAAATTCTTCCATGGTAATTACCTTGTTGAACTTTCCGCTATAGTACCTAGATTTCATGAATTTAAGGGCAGTACTAGATGTGCGGCAAAGTCGCATATTTTTAAAGTTGAATTGGCTAGATATAACCATAATTTCGATGCTAATAGTTTTTTTCTATCGCACTTCTAGCTTGTGGAACTCTCTTCTGGCTTTTTACTCCTCAGTCAATTTTGATCTTCAAAAATTTAAATGCAATGTACTGTCTTCTTAATTCTGGGTCTTTTTATTGTCTTTTTTTTATTTACAGTTTTTGTTTTTTTTTTTGCTCATATTCTCTAACACTCAATACTCCCTCGGGTCCGAGTGGCTTTATTGTCTTACTTGGAGTGAAATGATTAAAAAAAATAAATGTTTATAAATTTTTCTTTTTAAGTTTTAGCAATTGACTCCAATTATCTCGTGATATATTAGAACGTTGTAATTTCGCATTTTTCAGGAAGTTGTTTACCATATTGGAATTGGTTCTACCAGATTTATCATTAGTGTGTACAGTCCTAACAGCATCCGGTACGCAGATAACACTGTGTTGATGGTAAACACAGACAGAAAACTAATCTTCCATTTGTAAAGCAATTAACGTGGATTGACTCTCAGTTATAAATATAGATTATGTACGGTTGTTATTAAATGGGATAGCCCAAAATGTCTTATACTCATTGGAGACCTCACAATAAAGCAAGTTAAGAACGCTAGATATCTTTTTACCGATGACGGATACAGAAGTTGGAAGCATTGCAATAGAGTATGATACCTTCCAAAATTAAACATAATATTAAGAAACAGCAACATTTCATCTAAAACAAAGGTAAAAGAGGCCAACCCTTATGCAATAACACTCCGCTCATATGAAAAGGGGATGTTGAGGAATTTTTCCACAGAGGAAGAAGAGACTTGAAGCAGCGGAGATGTTCTACAGAAGAATACAGAGAATACTATGGACTAATAATGTACGCAACAAATACGTTTTAATGAAAATAGGAACAAAAAGACGTCTATACATAGAATCAAAAAAAGACATTTAAAACGTTT